CGGGGGCCCCGGGGCCCCCCCCCCCCCCCGACACACTTTGATCAAGTAAGCTTGAGACCAAGTATCACTCCAGTCACAAAAAGCTAGCCTGGCACGTGCCCTGAATCTACGGACCACATGAGTGTGTTGGACACCCCCAAAGAGCCTAGTGGGATCCTCCTCAGCCCTTCCCCTCACCAGCCTGCAGCTGCGTCAGAAGTGCAACTCCCTCACCTCTCAGATCCCTGTTGAAATCATGCATCCTCCGAATCTCGCCTTCCAGCTTGTTTCTCATGGCTTTCTCCAGGGTCTCTCTTTTGGAAGAGGACTTCACAAGGCTCTCATAAGCTTCCGAGACACGCTGGATTTCTGTCTCCACCTTAACAGAAAAAGGAAAGATGGTGGTGATGTTAGGAGGTTGATGGGGAACATAGTCTGGAAACAGATATGCAAAGCCTCAGTGACAGCTTCTCCCGGGCACACAGATGTCCCGGGGGCAAGCATAACACAGTCAGATAAAAAAGAGTTTCAAGGAAAGACTTCCAAATTCAACTGTAAGCTCAGCAATTAACTCACCGTGTCATGGAATTTCCTCAGGTGAAAAAATATATATAGTTTCTGCCTTTAGAAAAGATGGTAAAATAGAATAAAGTTCAAATATACTGCTATATATTATTTTAATTTCTGAATAAAGTTTTTCTTAATTTTGAAAATATTAATAATAATATATATAGTATGTAGATAATGTTACTCCAGAGCATTCAAAGGGCTTTCATGTGTTTATTTCAATTTGTCCTAATATCTGCCCAGGCAAGGTTACCTCTCCCCATTTTAGCAGACAGAAAAGTTAAATTGCCTTTTCCAAGAGCAAGTGAGTGGCAGAAAAAAACCTAAAAACCCTAAACTTCAGCCTCATGCCCTAGTTCAGTTCAATTTAATAAACATTTACCAAGTGCCAAACATTTACACGAACTCTTTAAAACACTGTGGGGTGTGCAAATACGAATGAGAACTTCATCGCTGCCCTCAAGGAGCTTTCGATCTAATCAAGGGAAAGAATACAGGGCAAGACACACCTTTAAGAAAAGTAGTAGTAGTGCTGTAAAGTACAGAGAAGGAAGAAATTATTCATGGTTGCTGGGAGGGAGAAGAGAACCATTTCAGGGAGGAGGCGGCATTTAGAGTCAGATCCTGAAAGCTGGGTCAGATTTCAATGAGCAGAGGTGAGGGGAAGGGTATTCTATTCTGAGTGAGCAAAAGCATTCCCAGAATGACCAGTAGTCTAATTTGGCTGGACACTGTGGGGTATATAGAGGGAAGCTGGCGAGATATGACTGCAAAGATAGATTGGAGTCAGATCATAAAAGGGTTTTAATGCCAGGCATTTGGACTTTATCCTGCAGTCAGTAGGAAACCAGTACAGATTTTTGAAATTCATGATCGAAGTTGTGTTTTATGACACCCCTGCAAATCTTGTAAAATGAGAGGGGAGGGGGAAAAAAAAAAAAAAAAAACCTCAAAGAGACAGGGTTTTGCCCTTAATCGGCCAGAAATCAGGAAGAAAACAAGAAATTAGACTCCAGAGTCTTTCTGCTCCATTTCACATATAATAACCACAGAGGTATTTGCATCTAATTTGTATAAGACAAATAAAGCTCAGGGCCTATTAAGCAATTTTCAAATTAAATTTGACGCCCGCAACCATTCTGCATTCCTTCTCAGTTTTCCACTATCCTCCTTAACAAAGCTCAGGGTCCTTTATGGGGAGAAATATCAGGCCCACAGTGGGTAACTGGGGGAATGGTAGGGTTACCAAACAACTCAGATGCAACCTGCTCCCATCTCCAAAATTCTGCCGGAGACAGGACTGCCTGCAAACAAACGAGGCTTTACACCACAGAAAAGAGCAGACTTGAAAGTGTTTTTCTCCTCACAGATGGCACCAAGATAGCAGCACAGAAGGTGAAAACTGGTGAATGGCATTTGGAGACAAGATCTGCAAGGCCTGTGCCTGATGAAACTTTTGCATGAAATTCAAGTGCTGGATAGAGAAAATAAACATTTCCATGTGAAAGAACAGGCTTGGTGTTGGTCTGCTCTGGGCTCTGGACAGCGTGTGGAGTGCAAGGCTTTCCAGTTCCCCACAGAATACCTCACCTGTGAGGCAGTCCCTTGACTCAAAGAGCTCAGACTGCTATTTCAAGGTCTTGTACCCATCTCTACTCCCCACACAGATACTGTATCCTTCAAAAGGGCAAGCTGTACATCTGTCAGTAGGGCCTTCCAGGAAAAGAAATCACAGCAGGGCATAGCCACTGGTCTGGTCTGGCTGATGGTGGGGACAGGAGAGAAGAGGGTGGCAGCGGGTTTCCTGACTTAGTCTGTCTACTTATTCCCCTCACCAGCCTCAGGCCTTTTTATTTTTTCCAGCATTACCTAGGATCTACCTCATTCTCCTACTTTCCTTTTCCTCTTCCATCCCACGTGTCCTTCCACGTCACCTCAGCACTGGGTAGGCCTGCACTTCTCTCAACACTCAAACTGTGCCAGGTACACTTATTTGAGGTATCTTCCCCCATCCTGGGCAACAAACAACAACAAAAATCCTATTCTTCTCCTCTTTCTTGTCACCCCCCAGCCCACTCCCCCAAATAACCATGGATCCTTTGGCCAAAAGGGCCTATAGAAGATCTGGGGTCATCCTTCAGGGACTGCATTGAAGATGACACCAGGGCCACGCTGAAGAGAGAGTCTGAGGAAGGGTATCAACTGTTAAACTAATCAGCCAAACTGGGTTTCTAGCCTGTGAAAATAATTAATTTATTGCACCAATGTGATGAGGGGGTAATTAAAATGAGAGGGAGAAAATACAAAATTGGGGCAAAGGAGGGAAGAAACAGATCGCACCCCACTCCCACAACCTCCATCAGATTTGAGAAAATTGGGGGAGGGGAGACCATTTTTGCTCCATAAGAATATGTAGGGAGATAATAAGCCCTCCTCTCCTTTAGGACCCAGATCTGGTGTTTACAAATTCTCAGCTTCATTCAGGCCTCTGAAATTTCCACTCCTGGTGTCTCCTAGGGGCAGAGTTGCTGAACAATACAAGGCAATCTCCTCTCCCTCCCCCACCTTCACCCTCACCTCGCTGAAGAGAGATCAAACCACATGAGCTCCACAATGACAAAAGCTTCAAAGAGCCTGCCAAGGCATCACTCTATTCACCAACAGCCACTGGAAGCCAAGAGCTAAGGTTCCTAGCTTGTGGCTCTCAAGAGCTAAAGATCTAGCTGAAGGAGACAGGAGAGGCCCAGGGAAGAACGTGAACTGGAAACACACACTCCTTTTTCTGCTTCCTCAGCCTAGAGCTGTCACCTGTCACCCAGCTGTGGTGCTAAACCCCTCCTGTCGTTCCCCCCCACACACACCAGAGAAAGAGAGCAGATGTTGAATTGGAGCTGCGGGGAAGGACCAAAGCAAAAAGGGAGGAAAGGGAGGGAGGGAGGGGGTTGAAAAAGAGTTACCATGAGAACTCCCACTAGGAAAAGTACTCTCAGCCTTTTCCAGAACAAGGCAGGGGAGGCCCTAACTTTGGCCTCTGAGATTTTTCTAGGAACTAGGGTTTCATATTTAAAATTCAAATTCATAGTTGGGAAAATATGATCAAGACGAAAAGCCTTAAAATGCTGGGAGGTCCTTCACCTACACAGGCATCACCAGTATTCCTGACCTAATGAAGTATCTCTGCCTTTTGGAATTCTAAAACAATCAAATAAGTTTTCTCTAGGACTATGGTGTCTTAGAAAACTGCATACATCTTTTTCTCCTGGCATAAATGTAAAATGTGACTTCTCCTAGATAGACAGGCAAATGGCTTTTTGCAAAGTTTGACCTGTATCTAATCTTCAGATATAAGAATCCTGAAGACCTGCCCCTAGGCACCCACAAGGGGAGACTTTTACATGAATATTACAAAAGTCCTAGAAATGAGATTTAAAGGAGACCCTAATATCCCCAAAGGGAAGGCTCACCTTCTGCAGTCTGGCCACCTTCTCGTAGCATCCTTCCAACTCTTGCCGCAAGTTCCGGTTCTCATCTGAGAGGATCTCGACCATCTGCTGGGCTCTGGAAACAATGGCAAAAGGATCTGCTGGCATTGGCTGATAAGAAGCAGATTGTTGGGCCCGAGGCATGGCTGAATAGGCTTCTCCTGGCTGCTGCTGCGGCTGCGGCTGCGGCTGCGGCTGCTGCTGCTGCTGCTGCTGCTGGTGATGGTGCTGCTGTGGCTGACTCAGGCTGGGCTGGGAGAGACGGTAATGATCCCCGTGGTGGGCCTGATTAGGAAGGAAATGCTGCTGCGGCCTAGGCAGGTGAGCTGAGTGGTCTCCTTGATTGGAGACCAAGGGGTGTTGCACAGGAGACAATTTCGTGGATGGTGGAGACTGCAGCAAGGGCAAGGAACCCCCAGACGTCAGAGAAGAAGTAGGGCTGTGAGGCTGAGAGTTCCTGGCCGACAATGGCAATGAGACGTCCTGTGTTGTCCTGTAAAATATGAAGGACAGGCTCAGGTGGAGTTCTCTCCTAAGGCACTGGGGGAGAAGGCACAATGAATTGAGATGAAGAGAGGCTTCTGGTGCCACCTGGACACCTGCAAAATGAGGAGCAGAGAGGGTCAGACTATAGGACCTCTGCAAAGATCTCTATAGTCCTTTCCTGGCCTGATCTTCTCTGACTCTGCCTGACAAACAGGTGTGATCCCCCAGATGACCTCCAAGGTCGCTTTGTGAGAATCTGAGTGATGTGTGGCTATATAATAGTTGCTCAAGTCTAAGCATTTTAAATAGTTCCTTTTTTTTTTTGGCCACTGGCTGGTACGGGGATTGAACCCTTGGCTTTGGTGTTAGCAGCACCATGCTCTAACTAACTGAGATAACCAACCAACCATAAACAATTTTTCTATAAGGTAATTTTCATCTCATTATTTTTAACTAAACCTTTTCTGACATTATGTATGTGGTCCAGCACATATAAAGATTCAAATTTGGAAAATACGTTCCACTTGCCCAGAAGGAAACAACAAACAGATATCAAAACCACCCCTCATCTTGTTATCTGATAATTCACATATTCACCAAAAATACTTAAGGCTATGTAGATATTTATTACATTACAGACATCAACCAAGTTGATTCCAGTTATTAATCATTTAATGATGCCTATTAGCAGTAAAACACCAAGACTTGGAGGGGTTACAAGCAACACTATCACACTATTATTGATATACTGAATCACAAAATGTAAGGACTGGCAAGGTCTTGAAGAAATTATTTGATCCAACTCCATCACTGGACAGAAGGGGAAACTGAGGCCCAGAGAGGGGAAGTGATCTGCCAAACATTAGAATGAGTTAGTGGTACTGCCAGGGTAAAAACACTTCTTTCCCAATTCCCATTTTCCAGCTCTTTCCACTGCCATAACACCTTAATTTCTCTGCACAGATGTTCACGTGATGTTCAGATGCCCAGCCTATTACTTACAGGAAGTTCTAGAAAAAGAACTTTGGTATTGTTTAATGTGACTCTCCCATTTTTGTATAAAATACTAATACCTAGGTACAAATAATTCATACCTAATGACTTTTAGCCATTAAAGAAAACAATCAGAGTATGTGGCGGGATCACTTCCACCATCTTCACCAGGAAGAGTATCAGTCATTGTACACTGAAGACAAAAACCTTGTCCCCACCCCAACCCAGGCCATGCCCAACTAACCTTACATCCTCCCATGTCCTGTGGACACTTGTCCCACAGTTGATATTTCTCAATCCAGGAAAGACACGTGGCTAAAGGACACGTGATGCGGATCCCAACAGAGAGTGTGTGGAGACCTTTTCTACTGCTTACTAGCTGTATAACCTTGCTTAAGTTATTTCATCTGAATGAACCTATTTCATTCCCGAGGTCACAAACGAACTGCAAAAACTGGGGTCTTCTCATTTTTTAGCTTAATAAGAATTACAGTCTCTTACCTACCTCCCTGTGAGACAGGTTGACCTTGTTAGCGATTTTACTTATGGGATACCTATTTAATTTTTGCACTAAATTGCATAAAATTCATGGTGGAACTGGGACAAATCACCATCCTCCCACACACACTGCAGTTCCCATTATTGTTCATTTATCCATACCTACAAGAGATCCTCACTATAAGGGCTTTTTACATCATTTCAAACACTTGTTCATGGATACCCAGTCACCTAGATGTTCACAAGAGCCCTCAAACTTGCTCAAGCACTGGATTCTGTCCCTCTGCCCCATCTATGCCTCTGGTGTACCCACGTTCTTCCAATTTCATACATACGTCACTATGAATAATTGCTGAACACTGAATAGGGCACATGAACTACTTGGACACAGAAGAATTTACAAGATACTCATGATGACAACTGGAGAGTTGCTATCGTACATAATCTTTCTTTCCAAGACCTCAAAGCACTCATTCAATCAAAAGTCTAGGAGCTGATTATAAACTTCTTTCCCCATAGGCAAAACAGACCATGTACTCTCTTTCCTCTTCGAGAAACAGCTGTTACAATTTACATGTATTCTTAGAGTTAAAATACAATGTCCTGGGATTTGTTGGGGCTTCTACATCTCCTGGGAAGAATAGAGAGGCTTAAATTCCATGTTCTCCAATCCAGTTCTCAAAATTTAAGGGAAAAATCACTATATTAACCTTCATTCTTGTTCCCAGGATTTGGAAGCCCAAGGCCCGAGAGGTGTTCTTTTTTAAAGACCGAACGCCCAGTTCTGAACTGGGATTCCTCCCCACAGCTCCTCTGGGCCCCATCAAGCAACCCGGACCTCTCTCTCAAATAGACTTGGCGACTGGCCTCCCTCTTGCCTGGACAGCACACAGCCTCCCAGGGGCCTTGGGAAGGAGGAGACCACAAGGTCTCCGCAAGGAAGTCTCTGGGTTGGATAAGTCCAGGAAGAAGATAATTGGAGACAAAGCAGCTGTCCCTCAGTTCCCAAGGCTGGAAAAGGAAGCAGATCTCAGTGCACAGTGATGTTGGGAAAACCAACTGGCAGGTTTGCAAACAAGCAAAGGCTCGGGCAGTCGCAAAAGGAGAAAAAGCCCTCCAGCGAAGGAAATCTGTCTGGGCTCCAGCATCACCCACCACAGAAAAGCAGGACAGTATTAACACTGGGGTGAAGTCCCCCTTGTGAAGAGGGGATTGAGGAACGATGGGGTGGGGGAGAGTTATGGGGGATGTCAGAGGAGGCAAAAGTACACTCAAGATGAAATAATAATACCAGTAAGAGTAATAATAATAAGAAAGGTGGCAGCCATGTGAGCAGCACACTCTCTAGGTTCTTCCACCACACAGCAGCTTGAATCGCTCCCCACTGACACATTAACCAGGAACAACAAGCTTCCAGCAGACAATACAGTCACATGATCCCATGGAAGCCCTGACCTGCCTCCCTGCCCCTTCCCTTCCTTCATTCTGCTCCCTCCTAAGACTACCTGGGCCACTGGCACTCTGTAGAAAAGGGGACATGGCATAGAGGCAGGACAGAGGCCAGTGGCAAAAATCAGAATCCTCCCCAAAGCCGGGGGGCTCCCTCCCAGAAGCAGCTGTGAGGACACAAACAGAAAGTAAAAGCCACTCTACCCGCTGACACAGCACCTTCCATCCTGCCACCTCCATGACTGGGAGCCCCAGCTTCCCCAGCCACATGCACATGCACACATACGCACTCCATACTTCTGGCTTACACGTGTGCAAGCCTGCACATGCACACTCTCACCAGAGCAGGTGCCACCTACAGCCTGGACCTGAAACCCAATTTGTCCTCAGCACAGACACTTTGCCTTTCCCAGGCTCTGCAGTGGTGAATCTGTGAGTCCTGGAGCAGACTGCAAATTCCTGATGGTTTCTCTTGCACAACAGCTCTGCTCTGAACTACAGAGTTAGGTCACTCTTAGATTCCTCTAAACAAGGATTTCAAGAAACATCAGATCTGGGCATGACTTCAACAATTGAAAGGAGGTGGCTGCTTTAGAAACAAATGATTTAATTTTTAAAAGCAGTTGATAAATGTATAAACCCAGGATGCAGAAGTCTCAGCACTTAGAAAGATAAAGATCCAGAAATTATAAAATTCTTTAGATGGCTTGGCCTTGTTTCACATGTGGAGTTCTGGGCATTCAAGATATTTATTTTTTTAAGTGGGGAGGAGGGCATAGGGAAGATGAAGTAATAAAAGGATTGTTTATAACATTTTGTTCATTTTAAAAGCAAATCTCCAGCATTTCACTGCACCTTTAAAGGCAAACAAAGGTTTTTTTTTAACAGCAGTTTGTCCAAAGAGCTTGCTTTGCATCTTGATCTGTCATTTGTGGATTAAGAACCAAGAATTCAGTCTTCTAATTGTTTGGTGCTAGCAGCGGTTACTTGAAAAGGTACTCACAAACCATATAGCTAGTTGGTTAAAGGAAATAAAAGAGGAAAAATGTGTCACCACCTAAAAGCAGTACATTTCTGGAAAGCAGTTCAACTACCTCCTCTTGCCAGTAACTTGTCAATAGATGCCACTCCCTAATGCAGGGCCCTGCAAAAATTGTACAGTTGGGATTTGCCTGATGCCACTGCAAACTTCCCATGGAGCATCCCCCAACTAGTCATCAAGCATATCAAGCACTCTGCTCCTCTCCCGTACAGCAAACCCGTGTGGTAAAATATCGCAAAGAAAGGATAGGTCAGCGTGGGCTTTGTTGCTCTGGGGAACAGAAAGAGACAGAGATCCACAGATAACTTAGGAGGAAGGAGAAAAGACACGTATCTTCCTGTAAATACATATGAAGCTAAATTTCTCGTGGTTTAATCAGTATGGGAAGGAAAAAAAAAAAAAAAACCCTCTTTGGGCTCCTTATTATTTACTTAGGCAGATCAAAGGGCTTTTCCATCCAGCTTCAAACACTGTGGAAGTCATTTCAGATCACAAACAATACTGGTGAATGAGTTCTGAAAATAGCTTTCCTGGGAAGGCGGGCCATGTGCTGAGCCCGGCTCTGGCTTCTGCTCCACACCCCAGCCGACACATCCCCTCCCACAAGGCAACAGACATCAGCCCATCCACAGACTCTTCCATCCTGATGGGAAAAGCAAAACAAAAACCCCAGCTTCGTTGACATTTTGCTGGCTTGAATAGGTTTCCACTAAGCGAAGGAGTTGAACACACCAAGCCCTCCCTGGGTCTTCCGTTTCATTGGGCAGAAGGGAATCAGGCTCTTGCTCTCGTTTAAATCTGCATGGTCCTGTCTGTTACCCCATTTTCTGTTCCAAGACACTTATCAGAACTTAGGCTCCTGCCCTGTGAAAGTTGCACTGAGGAGGTTAAAAGGGGTTAGGAAATCAACCTGGGTTAAGGGGGAAAAACATTCTAAACACGGCAGATCTTAAAGTGAATTACCTCTGGCTAAAAAACAGAACCTGGAGAGGGAAAAAATGAAATACCAGAAAACATCAGGTGCCTTCTCTTACCTTTACCCTACTCCACCCCCAACCGCCTTCTCTCCTGAGCCACCCAGTGAACTTCAAGCCAAGTGGTTCTTTCCCAAATGAGCAAGGAGGAGACCGAAGGCAAAGAGTTAGACATCAAAGAGATCACAGTCCTGGGCTGGCCCGGTGGCGCACTGCTACAGTGCACCGCTTGGGAGCGTGGCAGCGCTCCCGCCGAGGGTTCGGATCCCACATACAGACCGGCCGCTCACTGGCTGAGTGAGGTGCGAGCGCAACACTGAGGGTTGCGATCCCGTTGCCGGTCCCGGTCTGGTACGGGCGCGACACTGAGGGTTGCGATCCGTTGCCGGACACGAAAAATGACAAAAAGGGGAAAAAAAAAAAAAGAGATCACAGTCCTGGTCTGTGGTAGGTCCAGGGACTTCAAACCTTGTATCATGATATCAGGGCAAGAATGCCACACTTAACTGCCATCATTGTTGCCCATGGTTTAAACCTTTCCTCTGCCCCATATGCTGAAATACCACTGATCAGAGCCATGGCCCAAATACTAACAATAGTAACAATGAACAGAATCATGGAATCATCAGGTCTGCTCAATACAACAATGGGACAGTGGGCCTCTGAATGATTAAGAGATATGTTTAAGAAGAACTAAATATATGAAACAGAAGTCATGGGAATATTTTTCCTTCTATATTTTAGCACGTGACCAAAACTTCTATATGATATGATGTGAATTTAACTTAGATGTTTAAGAATCTAACAGGCAACTAACAAACTCTCTACAGAAGAAAGACAAAGCAGTTCAGACTTCATGAATTGCAAGGAAGTTCAAGGCGAGTAACATTCTGAACCTGCACACATATACAGTTTCCCCCACCATAACATCTGGGTGTTTGTTTAGCGTCCAGAAGAAATCACAGTAATTCTATGGAAAAATTACAAGTAACAGGAAACAGACAGATTTGTTCGCAAAAATAAGTGATGAGAGTTTTATGGAAGGGAACACGTGGAAGTGATAGGATGTTCCAAACTAACAATTCCAAGACAATTTGCTTCTGCTTCTCAAAGAAGGGCTTCGTAACTCACAAGAAGAGAAACACTGATCCTTCCTTCAATATCCCAGGAGACAGGATAGTAAATTGCTGCTGAAATCAAGATTTGGTCTCCTGTTCCTCCACTAGGCAAATGACGCCATGCTCAACCTATAAAGTCAAGGGAATGTTAATGCAGTGCTGATTATGGCTGAACAGGCTACGGATTATGGCAATTTACTAAGCCAGGGGTCAGCCATGCATTGCAGTTTGTTATACCAAACACCTGCCCATTCCTTCCCCTAAGATTCCCAACACACAGCAAAAGAAGCCGGTTGGGGATGAGGTCAGGAAATGACAGAAAGGGAACTCTCTTACCTGGCTGCTCCATACTCAGGGGGATGCTGATACCTCATCAGTTGCCCCTCTGTTCTCCCTGGCTGGTTCAGGCGATGCTCACTATAGAAGTGCCCTGGCTCTTGGGGCTTGCACACTACAGACTGGGATGGCATGCCCTTGAAGGGATACTCTGGTGGGGGGCCTCGGTGTTCCATGCCCTTCAGGCTATGCTGGTTGGGAGGTGGCCCTTGGGCCTTGTAGAATTCACTGGAACTTGTGGGATTCTTGTAGTGGTCATTGGGTTGTGGTGGGGAGAGGGGAGCGCTGGTAACAGGTGGATGGGCCTTAACTCCACTGGTGGCCAGTGACATCTGCATTAGTCGTTCACTCAGGGAGCGGACATGCCCTTGCTTAAGGTCTCTGAGTCCTTCATCCTGGTGCATCTTCCCAGGATTGAGCCGCTGAACTGATGGGCGTCCCTCAGTCCTCATCTTCTGGTTGGTGACTCCGGTGACATAGAAGGCAGCTCCAACACTGGCATGCTGCTGGCCCCGAAAGTACTGGGACTGGACCTTGGCTTCTTCATAGGTTGGGAGTTCTTCATTATTCTGCATTCGAGGGGATAGCTGCTTCTCCATGATGATGTTTTCTGACTGGATTTCCTGGCCCTGGGGTTCTTGCCGAGCAGCATGAGCCACAAGCTGCTGGTGGTGGTCTTGGGGAGTCAACACATCATTCTGAGGGCCTAGGTTCCCACTCCCACTAGGAAATGGAGGGCCATTCCCTGTGGCTTGCTGGTGTATGGCAAGCAGGCTGCGATTCTCACTAGGGTTGCCATAGCGAAGCTGCTCTTGTAGCAGACGCTGCAATACTGTGGTTCCTCCACTTGGCTGCTCTTCAGAATTTCTCATCTCTATTGCTGGTGGTGCCTTGTGAAGAGAGAGAGAAATTGGGCACCTGGGCTGCCCTTGACCTGGGAAGGGGAAACAGGAAGCTTTACACCCAGTTGACGGATAAATCAGTCCTCTAAAGAAAATGGGTATTTGGGGATGAGGATTTCACTGCAGAAACAAAGTAGAGATTGAATCTAGAATTAATAGATTAATGCGTGATTAATCTATTGGTGATTCCTGGCTCTAGCATTGATATGATGAGGAACTGGGAGGCATAAGAGCCCTGTTTCCTTTCTCACTTTTAGCATGAGTTAAATATTCAATCTTGTCTTAACTTCTAAGAGGACTGGGGAAACCTGAAACAGTCAAGCAGGGTGACCAGAGTGGGCAATTTTCCAAGGTTCTTACTCACAGAGTTCATCTTTCTGTATTCTATTTCAATTAAAAATATAAATCTTATGGCTGTGGAGATGGGGGCAGGACATTGGGGAAAGTTACCCTATAGACAGGAATTGTAAAACAGTTCAACATGTGAAGAGAGCTATTAAATGCTAAATAAAAAATGTCAAATAAAAGGTGAGGAGAGCTTAACTTACATCAGATAGCAATAATTATTCCTGCCTTGATGAAAACCTTTTCCTCTGATCTCATAAGACTCTGAAACATCTTTTTAAAAAATCCTTTTTTGTATTGTCCATTTTGGCTGTTCCTTGGCTTAATAAGAGAAGGACTTGGGATATTATTACTGACAAGGTTTCTCTTTCAGCCTTCCAGGAATAATCATTGAGATTTGTTGTTGTTGTTGGGTAGGAGGAGCTTAAAAGGGAAGCCTCTTTCATTTGAAGTGTGCCTCTGACAACATTTAGAAATTGAAAAATAAAAAAGGTCATCCTCTGTAATTGTCATATCCCCACCAACACCAATTCTTCTAAGGAAGGAATATGGGTTCAGTGAAGCAGATATCAGTAGTATGACAACTCAAGTTTCAAATTTTAATCATGCTACTGATTCGCAGGGTAAACTAAACAATTGACTCCTCTTTTCTTGACTCCTATTTTCCCATCTGAAAAACGAGTGAGAGGTGACACCCCCACCCCTCTGTCTCAGCCCTGTATAGTGCACACAAACTCATTTGAGACTCAAAATTTATTTAGAATCTGTCATGTTGAGTGCTGCGATTAAATACTAATATTCAATAACGAAACTTTCACTCTAAAGATCTTAAGTAACTGGTGGAGAATGGACATGATGTCAAACACAAAAGTCACAAGAAAGGTCAACTTAACCAGACTCAGGTTTCTAGATAAGAACTCTGGAACTCTGGCACCCAGACTCTTATTACTACAATATTAAGCGGCCTCCGATCTCTCTAGAAATATGAACTGCTTTCCTTCAGTCATGCACGGAGTGAGCTAGAGTATGGGTATGGTGGATGGAGAAGGGCCATCTTCTCTCCTTTCTCACTTCTTGATAGTTACTGCTACCTGGTTTACAGTTGTGCTACTAAGCAGCTGGACCCCACAGTTAACCCTCCAAAGATCCTTTGTAAATACCATTCATCATATTTTGTTGGGAAATGCACACCAATGGGCTGAGCAACTTTGCCCTCTAGTCTCCTTCCCCTCCCTCCCTGTGACCCTCCAGGACTCCTGTATTTGAACTGCCAAATTGGGATTGTCAGATAGGCTGACAAACCATAACATACAAATCTCTTTTGGTGCCTGAAACTACAGAGATGACTACCAAACTACCTGTCCTCTCTCAAAAAGTGGAAAGAGGAACATGCACGGTTAAAACAAAATCACTTCCAATCCCTCCTGCAAGACAGGGGAGTGTGGACACTGAGCTGCCCCTGACCCCGAATAGCACACCACCCCCTCCCAGGCCATGCCCGGCCCACCCAGCAAGCAAACAGGCACACGCGCACACACACGCACACGCCGATGGTGCATACCTATTTCTGCTTTCTTTTAGGCTTAAAGCCTTGATCAGGATAGGGAATTCTTGCTTATGAGCAGCTCCAGAAACCGCAACGGCAGATTCCCTCTCCCCTAACACTCAGGTTCAGGGTAAGCGCCGCCAAGAGTCCAACCACTGGTCACTCTGAAATGTTTAGGAGGGGGAGGGAGGGAGAAATAAAAACGTCGTTTCTATTTTGCCACCAATGGCCAGCAGTTAACCAAACCAGTCCTTCCACGGGAATGACTTGTCCTCCCCTGGTGCTTGGCTTTTAAATGAGTGTCAGAGTCCATCTCCTCTAGGGCAGAAAAGAGACCTCACTGTCCAGCAGCTGTGTTCAGGAGGTCAGGCCAGTTTCCAGGTGATGGAAATGTGCAAGTCTGAGGCTGGAAAGGAGTGTTCTGTTCTAGCCTCACAGCCCTGGAAAGCCACTGCTTCCATTCCCAGTTGGAATGGTCGATGATGACAAATGCCGTAACTACTGTTACCTTTAGTATGCAGCCTTTACATTGCATGTTAGTGAGGCTCACTGCCCCACGTCCCAGAAGGGAAGGTCGTCATGATAAGGTAGGTTTCTGGTCAAATACAGAACACTCAATGAGGCTCCCAATTTGACTGCCTGAGCCTCAGATGGGCAGAAGAAAAAAACAAAATTTCTTTTCAATGAAGTCATGAAATATTTATTGCATAGAGATTATTCCAGACATTTGCCAGCCTCATACTAGACACAATGAGGGATACAAAAACACACAAAATAGAGTTCCTGCCCTCATGGAGCTTACAATCTGATCATCTGATTGATGGTCCATCCATTCTTGCAGGAGCAAGAAAGTTGACTGCCCTTCTCAACACAGAGCAGCAACCCTTCTCCAGCAGAAGATGCTTCCACATGCTTTTCAGAACTTCCAGTGCCTCAGCAAAAAGAAACCACCAGATTCACATTTATACAGGCTAGATGCAAACGTCCAATAGAGATGGAATTGAGATGGTCCTCATTTGTAATCTCTGCTTTGACCCTCTGAAAAGCTCTGCAGGTCATACCACAATGATTATAAAACTCAGGAGAGTTTGTGTTTAGGTGAGATGTACATAAACCACATTCCTATCTTCTGTCCCAGCCTAGCCATGACTCACTCATCACACTTAAAGGAAAGGCTTTAAACTGCACCAAGGACTCCATTTGAGTCGCAAGGCAATGCAAAGGAAGCACACAAACGTCTCTGTATTTTGGGAGCATGTCCAAATCATTCAAGTTTAAAAAAAATAAATCCACAAAACCACATAGTGATTAATTTAACATTATTTCCTTGCAATGTTGCCAAAAATAAAGTGAACAGATATAAACTGAACAAACACGGAAATTTGTCTTTCCATCTTGTTTTGGCCCAACACATAATCATGATCAAAGTAAAATCGTCTCCAATCTGCAGGGTTATTATTTTAGGGTGTCTCTCCCAATTTCAAAGCAGAGGAACAACTTCTAATTGGAATCAAAGTTGGACTGTTAACAGAACTATGGTAAATAACCACCATGCTTCTATTGTGCAATTCTGAACAAAACATTTGTCTTTATTTTCAACTGAAACACCAGAAAACAGCCCAAGGCTTTATGCTTGAGTCCCTGGAGAGAAACCACCATACGATTCTTTTTCAGTACTATTTAGATTCTTCATGTCAATTTTGACTGGCTTTCTCTGGACACCCAGCTCCTCATTGAGAAAACCTTACTTGTCCAAAGACTTACTCTGTTCTGTTGATTTTGTCCTCTCTCCTTCATATCCTTTTCAAAACCCAAATCACTTTATGTCAACTGGACATAGACTGTTCCCTCACCCCCACCTCTGGCCGTTTTTGTTTCTGTTTAAAAGAGGAAAAGAAATCAGCCTAAGAAAAAAGCTCTGTGGAGTCTTCTCCAGTTTAGTTTTGTTTTGTTTTGTTTTGTTTTGTTTTGTTTTCTTAAAGAGCTTATGTTCATCTACATGTCAAGAGTGACCTAAGGAGGAAAACACTACTCCATTTATTTATTAGAGAAAGGAAAGAAAAAGATTCCTTGCCTCATGCACAAGAATTAAAATACTGCCCACAGCTTTAATCATGACACTCACTACCAGGGGTCTGACATCAACTTCAATCAATAAAATAACCTTGTTTCTCCTGAACACACAGAATGTCCTGGAGGATGTTTGATAGGGGAAGAAAGGATGTCTGTGGTTCTGTCTTACAAAATGCAATTTGAATCTATATATTCAACTCCTCTGTCACAACAGGGCAGCAAGGCCAAGCTCAGTCTTTCTCCATTTGCAGTCATTGGCCTCTCCCAGTATACCTGAGAGGCTGAGCCAAAACACATTAGTGAGAGCCGGAATGTTTCTCAAGGCAAGTCCCAGAACACCAACATTACAAGGTGGCCAGGACAGACCAAATTCTCACCCTTCAAATACATTTTGCAATATGCCTATACGATCTTCTTTCGATCCCTTCTTCTCCCCTCCTTCTCCCATTCTGCCCCCACCCCTCACTCCACCAACCAGGATGAGGAATCTACGTCTAGCAAACCTGTTTCTCTGCTAAATAAATCTTGGTCAACTTGTTTCATACAATTTTACTTGCAGCTAAATGGAAAGGAGCCAGTTCAAAGTTTTCCCTGTAACTATGTGCATGTATTTGTGCATAAAACACACACACACACACACACACACACACACACACACACACAGAGCACAACCTCTCACAGGAAGCGAGAGGCCCCAGTGAAATCTCATGTCCTCTCAGGGTGGTCTATAGGAAGTGTCCTAAAGAACATCTTTCCCAACGGTCTTGCAACCCAGGATACTAACTCACTTCCTTTGGGAGATAAGAAACAATGGTCCTTTTGCAGGTTATCCCTAAACTTATAATGAGTAATGGGTAGGCAGTAAATGCATCATGGTTGAGAGCTGGGCCTACGGTCACACTACCCAAGCTCAAATCCTGGATCTATGGCTTCCTAACTGACCTTGCACATGTCTCTTGACCTCTCAAGTCTCAATTTCATCACCGACAAAATAGGAATAACAGTGCTTATACCTCACAGGGTTGTTAGAAATATTAAGGAGGGAGGTAATTCATGCAAAGTGCTAAGCACAGAGACTAGCACATAGTAAGGGGTCAATCAAAGTTAGCTATTACTGCTATTATTATTTCAAAGTAGCCTTTTTCTAGAAGACTACAGCAATTTTATGAAAAAGGATTGTTTTTCTAAAAACCTTTATTTGCAACTCAGTCTTTTGGGCAAGGGTCCTTAGATCATCAAAGACCAGAACTAGAAAGACTCTTGGGAGACCACTGAGTGGCCCAACTCCCTTTCTAAGATGCCAGAGCCTCAAAGAGGCCAGAGGCAGGACCAGATGCAGGTTTTATAACTCCTTGGGCAAGAGCTCTTCCCACTACAACACATTATCTAGCATTATTAGCTTATACACAGAAGACACTTCATAAATATTTAATAATTGAATTGACCCTGGTTTTAAAAGACTGTAAACCTGGCTTAATGCTACCATCAATTTTCTTGTTCCATTGTAAATAAAATGTTAATGGTAGGAGGAAAAATTCAAAGTGGTAAAAAGAAAGTGTTTATAGCTAGAAGTATAGCAGAAGGACCTTCCAAATCTCTCCTCTTCAGGGCAAGATGTGCAGGTAGATCAGAGAAAAACATGAACATCCACTGATCAGTGTTTCCAGCCCCCTGTTCTAGGTCTTGTCAACATCATACCAGAGTGGCCCCAACTCTTTGCTACAATCTCTACCTCTACCTATATTAGGCTGGAAAATTATTTTAAGAATCACAGCAAGTCTGTGGCATTTCTAAGTCTTACTAAGGATCAGCATAAGAGATCTATTTCTGAGACAGTGACCAAAGGCTTGGTCATTTTGGGTCTCAGTTTTACTTTGCTGTGCTCTGAAGCAATTAACTTGAACATTAATAGGCAGTAAAGGTGATCAGCCCTAAAACGGACATGAAGCAGTGAAATACTGTGTAGCAAGGAGAAATCTGTGGCTACCCCCTCTCTCCCACCCAGCACACACATTCACTCCTAGGGAGGACTAGAACATACCATCACATCCCACTTCATATTACCTCAGAAAATGTATAACTAAGGGGTCCATGAAATCAGATTGAGCATAAAATAAGAAAAGTTTAAGAGTATACCTAGAAACTGCCTGTTTTACCAATCTCCTGCCTCCAATGGCATACCACTCATTTTTATTTTTGTTTATACTTCATTTTACGAGTAATGTAAGCAAAGTTTGCAAATATTTATAATAAAGAAATAATCACTTTTAATCCCAGCATCTCAACCAAAACATTGTTAACATTATAGAGTATTTCCTTTAGTTTTTCCTATATGTATTTGCGTTTTTACAAAGCAATGAAACATTAATGTACGTATAATTTTGGATCCTGCATTTCACTTTATCATAAGCACTGTCTCCATATTGTGGCATAACTTCAAAACAAACCTTATAATAATGAGTGTATCAAGAGTCACTTACCCATTCTCCAATTATTAAGACATTTAAATTGCTTCCAATTTTGTGCTAGTCTAAATAATGTTACAAAAACATCTTTGTGATTTACCCTTTTTCAACATTGCAGATTGTTTCCTAATGACAGAATCCCAGAAGTGAAATTGATGGGTCAAGGATCATGAATGTTTTTAGACAATCCACTAAAAAATAAAACTAGCAAAAACACCAAAGCCCCATGAAATCTCTCTCTCATTTAATGAAAATTTCTCCTGCTCCCATTTTTCCACCAGGGCAGAGCAGAACTCCAGGGAGGGAAAGAAGCCAAGAGAAGCAGTGTAGTATCCTGGTGGCTTACGAAATGGCAGAGTGGAATGCAGGCTCCCCTGTGAATCCAGCTTGCATGCACTTGTCCCAAATTGCCATACGGCCAAGAAGCTAATTAGTAAAAGCATCAGGTGGGTGAGAACAGGTTCATGGCCTGTAATGGCTTATATCATCTTTCATTTTTGCCCTTGGACAGATCTGACAGTCAGCTTGAAGACATTCAGTTCTAGTGACCCAACCAGCTACATTCTGAGAACTCATTTGTTCGTTTTCAGATCCCAGTCTTCAATATCTTAAATGGGGATTTTGCTGTATAGAACTCAGCATACATGACCGAATGAGTTTGTGTGTCTACCTGTATTTTCAGCCCCAGTTAAGGTAGCACATTTAAGGTCAACCCTGTTTAATATTATATGACTAAAGGAACCTGTCTTCAATGGTCAATGTGTTATAGACAGAGGTTTATTGGCAAACCCGGCCATAAAAGTCATCTAGTCCTAAGGCAGGAGAGGCAATGGGCCAGAGCAGAAACACCAGGAGTTGCTTCCCTTGGCTGTTTAGCCAGAACTCTCAGAAAAGGGCACTTTTGCTTTCCACTTTCCCCTTGAAGGTTATTCCCTAAACCTTCTCCATCCTTCCCCCCGATGCTGCTCAATATAGAAAATTAATTCTCTCTTCTGTGTTCCTATTGGACTTTGTACACATCTCTATCACAGCACTTATCATAGCATATGTCCCACAAACATTTATTGAGCACCTACTATAGCTAGGCACTGTGCTAGGTAGGCCCTGGGGTGAAAAATAAATAAATAAATAAAACAAAGCCCAGTCCTCAAGGAGCTCCCAGTCAAGCAGAGAAGGCACAATCCAATGGTAATACAGAAGACTCTGCAAAAGATTCTGGGCTATCTGAAATAGCTTCCTAGAGAGGAAAAAAAGCTATGAGCTGAGTAGAAGACAGAGAATTTGGTTACCAACTTGACGTCAAAGATAGGCTGAGATATATCTTTAGAAGTCATTAGCATAGTTAAGGTCATATGAGGGGGCTGGGCCATATAGAGCAGGAATGGAACAGAACCAAAAATGAAACTAAGGTAAACCTCTGGGGAAAAAAAGTGATCACTCAAAGGCCAGGCACTCTGCACATGTCAGAGTGACAGAATTTTGTTTTATTTACCCCATGGCTTCACACCCTGCCCCCCGCCCCCCAATATACCTTCAATCTAGACCTTGGAATACACTGCTCCAGGGACAAAAGTCCCAGCTGCAATGTAGAGAGAAAAAAAGTTAATTCTCGCCTTTTAAGCTTCCAAGTGCCCAGACAGAAATCACTGTTACGGATTGAGCCAGAAATGGAAATAGAAGTTGCTAGACTATGAGATTTTAGAGGGCATGGGCTGGGGGCTTGATTTCTCACTGTATCTGCCCCAACACCTAAAACATTAAGTGGTACACACAATGTGCTTAATAACGGTATATCGACCGAGTAACAATTTCCCAGACTTTGCTTAGCGGCAACGGCAGAAGAAAAGGAATGAAAGACATGGAATAACAATAATAATAATACCATTACCTTTAGTTTCTCAGCCTTCCTTCTAAGGAGACAAAAGCTCTTTCACTTCTGTTATCTTATTTGTCCTTCTCAGCAGCTCTGTACGGAAACAAAGACAGATGTGATTAATTCCATTTTACAAATGGAGAAGCTCAAATCCAGAACAGATAGCTAATGATAACAAACTTGACCAGGGTTTCACTGCTGCTCACTGATAGGGCCAGGATCAGAACCCAGGTCTCGTGACTTCCTGCCCTGTGCTCAGCTGTAAGACACAACCCTCTAAAGAATTGCCTCTCCAGTTTTTAAAAGGACAGTTCACAAGAGAAATTCATTAGGAAAGCAAACTCCCTCGGCACTCCAACAGTACCTTAAGCTAGCAAGTGTGCTGCATCTAGAAGAAAATATCTAAGACGTTTGTTTCCCCATGCCAGCACTGGGGCAACTAAATGTATTCCCAGCAGGGCTCTGCTAACATCACTGGGAGCTCCCTGTTTTGCTGTACCCCTTTTGAAGGGAGCCTCATCTGCCTTTGGTATGGTTTTGTGTCTGAGTGGGGCTCAGGTGCTGCCTGCAGGTGTGGCATGGAACAGGTGCATGGACAGGAGCCAGCGGTTCATATCTTCATACCGAAGGCCCTGAGTCACTCTCCAAAGGCAGAAGGCAGCCCCTCCTCCTGCTGTGGACTTGCATGCACCGGGAACCTGTCCTGAGGTGCCATTGCAAAATTGAATCTAGACCCTGTCTTCCCAAGAAGGACTAGGGTGAGATCAGTTAAACCACAAACCATTTAACCAAGCCACCTTTCTCACTCACAGAAATTAGTGTCAGCACAAGGGCATGGCAGCAGGGAGCAAGTTTACAGAATGACCGTTCCCTACAAGTTGTGGGGAAAAAGGAGGATCACACAGACCCATATTACATATTTAGCTACAGAGCATTTACTCTATTGCAAATAGCCCTGAAACCTGAGGAACAAGTACTCATACTCCTTAAAAAGATGGGAGTACAGTAGAAAGAACCTGCTAGGAATACTGCACTCCTGTTCCCACCATAACCCCTCTCTTCAGGCTGCCAAGGAGAACCTGGTCACAAAAAGCACCAGGTCAGAAAATTCATCACGTTCCCCTAAAGGAAACCTAACTGGCAGCCTGAGGCAGACAGAATGTTGTTCTTGGGGGTAAAGGGGGTCATCAAAATTTTCTTAGCTCCAAAAATTGTTTGCTAAAAAAAAAAAAACAATTTGCTTCCCCGCCCCCAAACACACACAGAAAACAGAAACTAATTGTAGAAGGAAAAAAAAAACAAAAAACAAATATTACCTTAATAAAATGGTTTATTGTATTTCTCCAACTCATATGGGAAACTCAAATTAATAAGCTTTGGTTTACAGCCCATGATCCAGAAAGTAAAACTGGCTACTAAACTAAAATGTGATCACTGTAGATAGAGTAAAACAAAAATCTGAACTGAAAACCTAAATGTAATAAAGAGAAAATTAGATTTCTTCAAAATAGGCAATCTAAATAATTTTCCCCATCTGTGATTTTTATCTTAGTTTGCTATCACATGGAAAAAATGTCACTAATTCAATGCAAATCCATGCCCCTTGAAAACAACCAAAATGAGTAAGGGATGTACTAATTAGCTTCCTAATGGGGAAGGTTTTAATTGAACTATTCTATAACAACCTTCATTAAAGTTTCCAGGGCAACTTCATAAAAGGATGTCAAACCTGGCCCATATTTGTATCCCTTTAAAAATAATTCTCAATACACAGAAACACAGAAAGCTGATTTCTCTTCAATGCTATTAACGCTCAGGCCACTACATTTTCTGATGTCAGCAATCCCCTTCCCACAAATATTCCAAGTATGCACCACCGTCATTCTCCTTTCAATTATGTGGTTTCTCTGCTCCTTTACTGATTGAGTCCAGGCCTCTGGGATAATGGGAAGCATGTGCAGGGAAAATATGCTCTTAAAAAACACATACATCAGTTTCATCTGCATTATACAGAGAGGGAGCAGATCATTTGTCCATATCAAAAGGATCAAAATGTGAAGTCTGCTATGGGATATATAAGGGAAAAAAAGATCAGCACCAATGTCTAAAACTGGGGGTGGGGGGAAGTTATTGTGATCTGAAGCAACACCAGCAAGAATAAGGGAGACTCCCCCTCCCCAAATCCACTCTTTCTAGCTTGGCCACATTTATATTTTATGTTTTCTTAATGTTGCTTTGGGGGGTATTTAAGTTCTGACATACACATGGAAATGAGCCACGAATTGTACAGCAAGCATAAATATACCATCATTAATAAAAACCAGCTGTGTATAAAACACTACAATGGCTGGATTTCAGTTGCTGGCTATCATCAGTATGTGTCACAAGCAAATATTACTCAAAACTTTCTCCCTTAAAACACACACACACACACACACACACACACATACAGAAATTTGCATTACTCTTTTTAATCATCTGGAGGAACTTCGAAGAACTCACTCATCTTTACGGCACATTCCAATTAATGTCTCTTTTTGAAGCTATTTTTCATCACCCTGGCAGACTCTAGAGTCCTCTTATTTGTACGTCAACTTACTACATAGTATGAAAATGTTTATTTTTTTTTTCAAAAAGCAGAGAGGGTCAATAATACAAATGTTGGGTCAATCCTATCATCAGTAAGGCAATGGGGCTCTAAAGGACACTGTACATCATAAGAGAGCAAAGCTCATTGAAAGTGAACACCTGCTCAGGACCCTATAATAAGCCTGCTTTGCCATCATGCAAACACCTTTCATCCAATGACCTCAAAACATGTGTCCAATATGAAGCATGCCTAAACACCTCTGTGAAGTATTAATATCCTTGCTTCCCAGAAGGGTAACTGAAGCTTAGAGCAGCTAATTCATTTATCCTTGGTCACATGGCAAGTCAGAGAGAGGTTGGACAGAGAAAACCAGATCCTGGCTTCAAGTCCCACAGGCAAATGATATTGCATGGACTTGGGGCAAGAGTGAAAGTGACTTTACAAACGTCAAGGCAAATCAACAGTGTTTTTTTTTAAAAGTTGATTTTCAATAATTGCCTTAGAAAATATTACCAAATTTATCCAACTGCATTTTCCCCATGAACATATATTACCAAAAAATGTCCCTGTACTTCACTTGGTACTTTCTAAGTACTAAAAACCCATACTTCAATTTTCTATTCCAGTTAGAGAAATTTAATCTAATTTATGATGAGCCACTGGTTCTCAGAAATGAATCCACCAAAAATTGGAGATCACGCATATGCTATACCTTCGTTATCAAAAGAAAATTGAAGGAACATGGGACTTAACTTTCACTACGTGGCGAAGACCTCAAACGAAGAATCCATTATGTGTAGGCCATTCTGCTACACCTGCATGTCTTTCATTTGTCCAAAATCCTCAGTTTCTTTGCTATTTTTTAATTTAATTTAAGCATATTATTTTTGAAGCTGTGAAACAAGCATATCTGTGCAATCCCACTTCTCCTTTCTCATTCTGGGGATTTCATAGTCTACCCAAATTTCTCTTGATGATGTATCATGATACAGTTATTTAAGATTCATTGCCAGTGATTTAGGATTTAGATAGAGTAAACGGTGGACCCTAATTTTTTTTTTTTGCTTTGCTTAAAAAGAATGGAGGGGGGGTAACAGGAGGTCAAAAGAGTAAAATTAACAGCCTGGCTAGATACATGAACTACCCCTAAATCACCAAAAGTGTTTAGGGATTACTTATTAAATCTGTTAGTCTCTCCTGGCATTCAAGTAACAAAAGGTATGGGATTCTCCACGTGTACTCAGTCGGGTTCCCTTACATAGGTTTAAAAGCTAAGCCTTAGGTGGGTTCTTATCTAAAAACAACGTTGTATATTCTTATGACCCTAACTATGTAAAATTCATGTTAGTACAAAAACAACGACTTGAAAAGAACTAGAAAAAAATGAAAGCAGGTGATCTGTTAGGATGATGGGATTCTTGATAAAGTTTTGGACAGGGTCTTAGCTTTTTAATTTGACGTTAAAATATAAAACACAGCACATTTATACTGATACATTCTTACAGGATTTTTTTTTTTTTTACATGATGACTACATAACTGTATTTCTACCAACTACTGCACCTCATTCTAGTAGCAATCACTCACATTCACACCAGATATTGAGGCCTAGGAAGAGAACCATAAACTATTGAGAACTGGCTCTCAAATCATCCTGTCTGACCCCCACAATTTAAAGTGGAGGAAACTTGCCAAGGGTGGTAAACCGAGTTAGAGTTGGGCCTAAAGCCCAGGTCCCTCTCACTAATAGAGTCACTAGGAAAGCTTATCATAGATCCTTAAATTTAAAACAGCATCAGTTGCCATGATTTACTAGCAACAATTTTCTGGATCATCGGGTTAGTCAAACACAATAGCTGGAAATAAAATATTTTATCTATATGGGGTGGATAGTCCCATCCTTAGACTTAGTCAATATCTATGAAGTCTGATTTATTTCCAGAAAGTAATACTAGCTCCCTTCTACAAGCAATTGTAAGCCAGGCCTAACATGGCCAGCATTATTACAAGCCAGAATGATTTAGACAATTAACTCCATCCCATATAACAAAGAGATTTCAAAGGCCAAATAATGGGCTTTGCTTAATTCAAGCAATAATTGTAACAATAAATTCTAATGTATTCCTTGATGCAATAAATATGCTTCTGTGAAGGCACAGTTATAGTGAATTTTTACATATCGAGTCATAGTTTATAGGCACTAAGGAAGCTAGCTCTTTCAAAGAAACCTGTTGTGGATTCTTTTATAAAGCAAATGACCTCCTATTTTCTTTCTTTTTCCTTTTTTTTTTTTATGTTCAAATTGTATGTGTTGTGTGTAGAAGGAGTGACTTCCCTCCTTTCTCTGGGTTGAAAGGGGTCAGAACCCCACCATGGAGGAGAGTAATGCAGGATGGCCAGCCTGGTTAATGCCCCCTTAGTTCCTGGGTCCAAATTCTAACCTTTGATTTGGGGGTGGGACCCTAGATTTTGGACCAAAGTCCACAGAGAGCAGCAAGGAATGAAAAGTAAGTAAGACTAAAGACAACACATTATAGTAAAACACCAACAAAAATTCCTGGGGACAGGAAATCAATGGATCACAATTCTAAACAAATTGATTTAGTCCCCTGCTAATTAACTTGTCAAGCAGATCTCTAAACCTACTGAATCCATGGGAGAAAGAGGTGATGTAACACAAGATTTAGAAACATTTACCCGTTTACCCTCCTAAAAAACTGGGCCACGACCACACATACCTCTCTCCACCCCTTTCAGTGGAGTTTAAGTTGAGCTTAATGGGTGCAAAGGACAATTTCCACCAGACAGTCCCTAAGAAAACTGTTATCATGCATTCCAAATGCTCAGTCTCCATGGAAGGGGTTACCTGGTTGAAAGCATTTCCCAAGAGGGAATATATCCTCTACTCCTTCTCACTGCTAACCACAACCACCCCGCTCCATCCCAAACTACACAAAACAACTTCTAACCATCCTGAGAACTTCAGGGGACTTTTTTCTGTGGTAAAGGAAAAGAAATGTTAAGAGAGGAGCAGGAGAGTGTGAGAAACTCCTCTTGTCTCTAAATGGAAAAAAAGGCCTTAAAAAGCTGGATCAAAGGAGGAAAGGGGGATGGGGGAGAAGGGCTGCTTAATTACAAAGACACTCTTTTAAAGAAGGCCCAGGCCCTGGGAGAGGGCTCTCAGGACGGGCACAGAAGCAGATGTACCCACTTAGAATTCTGGCACTCAATGGAAGCTCAAGGTCATAGCACCCATCCCTCTGCCTTCTGTTTAGACTGTTCTTAAAGCATTCTAGAGTCTGATTCTTTCTTTACAAAATTTCAGAAAAAGGAACTCCACAGAATGCCTTAGTTGTCCATTAGCCTACTGAATCCTACTGCATAAATCAGAAATGAGATTTTAATTTCCAAATCCAAAACAGTATTGAATACAAGTTTTTAAAATTCCCTTTCTCAAATCTTTTAAATAGGTAAACAGATCCACAACCTTCATGTAAAAGTTACTCTACATACAAGTGTGGTCAGAGGTTTACATCACATCTAGACCATGAAGTTAGAAAAAGCACTTTCAATTTTACAGAGCCACAGACTTTTCCAAAGAAAGAAGTAACTTAAAATGAAGCATGATGTAGTGCCAAAAAAGTGTCTGTAAATGATACCAGATAAACCCATACAGAATAGCTGGAACCTGAGTTATCATCTGTAAATAGATGCAACTACTCTACAACCACCTGGCTATTAAAATGTCCCAGGCCAGTTATAAAATGTAGTTTGGTCAGGCCAGCTTTTTTCTCCCAGCTGATCTGAAACACAATAGCCTTTAAAATTGTTGCCCTGTAACGTTCCTTTTCTACCTTTCTGCTTTCCTTTCCCCCATTAAAATCAATCAAAGAAATGATTTTAAAATATAAGTAAATAATTTGTTCCCAAATAAGCAATGGGTTAGGGATGTCTCTGTGATGGTTCTTTGAACACCACCATTCTTATAAGCTCGACACACTTTTCCAGTTGAAGGTAGGTAGGAGATGCATGAAAATGTATCCCATGTCCAAAATGGCATTTCAAACTATTCTTCACTACTAAATGAGGGTGCTGAAAAGTCTAACTGAGGAGGCTTCACAAAGGCTGGCCTGAGAAAGAACTTTTCACGAAGCCGAGCTAAAGGAGACAAATACTCTTAGCCCTTCATCACTGAAGATTTTGGTGACTAATTATCTTCCTCTTTGAATGGGAGAAGAGGGTTATATCCATACAAGTTTTAAACTGCCTCCTAACTTCCACCCTTCATGGCTGGGAGGGAGGAGAATGGAACTGAACATCCTAAGTTATCAGAAATTTGGGAAATTACTTTCTAAAACATATACTATAGAGATTGGAAATGCTGTTTCTCACACTTTCCCCTTCCTTTCTCATTTAATTGTGCTTAGTCCCTTGCTGTAAATTATTATATTATTAGTAACAATTTACTAGGGACTGCTCACAGTCTATAACCACTGTAATTTTCCCTCCCACTTTTCCTTCTCTTCCTTTCCATATAACCATGAAGTCCACCTTACTGTCGAAGCACCAAGGGACAGTGGCCCAGGCTTGGACCCTCAAGACACCTGCCTGATCTTGCCAAACTACTTACTAACGTATTTGGATCTCCCCCTCCTCACCACCACCACCAACACACACTGCGAAGAGTCGCCGTGTTGTGTTGTAGATTACTTTTAGACTTCAAAACTTTAAGAATTCATGGCCCTCGGGCTCAGGGAGTGTGAGCCCCCACCCCCAGCCTAAGCACTTAGGAGAAATCCATCTGGCTATATAAGATAAGCGCAGACATTCATGCTGGGCTAAATGTAGACCTCAGCTTACCTCGGGTCTTCAGTTCTTTATGTGATTAATTACCTAAAGACCTACAAGGACCCCAGGAGGCAAAGAAGTAGAAGTATCATTAAGCAGTGGTACCCACTAGCATCTTCTCGACGAAGTAGGATAGGAAAGGAGCGCACACTCTTTAACCGATTTAACTTGCTGCACATCCCAGAAAACTCATGGCCAGCTGCAAAAAAGCAGAACACACGGGCATCCCCACAGACATATATAGATCGACTCACTCACGCCGAGGGTACGATCAAGTTCATGCCACAATGCATTCCTGCCCCAGTTCCCCTCGAAAAGTAACCACGCGTCTCCTACCCCTGAAGGCTACGAAGACAAGGTGACGACTCTGCTCGCTCAAGTGGCTTCGGTCCCGGGCCGGCTGCCAGGGATGGGCAGGGGGGAAGCCCCAACTCCCGGCTGCTCCCCTCCTCGTTGCTCCGTCCGGACTCTCCTTGGTGGCAGTGGACAGTCAGGATACCGGGCCGGAGGGTGGAGCAGCGGATGGTCGGAGGCGAGACAGACTGAAGGTGGTGGTAGTGGGGGGAGGCGGTGAGAACTAAGAGAAGAGGAGGCGAAAGAGAGCGGAGATGGAGGAGCAATTCAGGGGGTCTACCAGGTTAGGCAGCCAGAAAGCTCCTCGGAAGGAAGGGGCGTGACTGCGATGAAGGCAGCTCCAGGGCGAGGGATGGGAGGTAGGGGAAGGGTACGAATGGGTGGCTTTTCTTCTTGCGGTGAGCGGCTAGGACCGCCCAGGAGCGGGGGGCGGACTAGGGAGGGAGGCGGAGTAGAGGGCGGGGAATGAAGGGCGGGAGCCTGCCCAGACCCTGGAAAGGGGTGGGGGGAGGCGCAGACGGGAGGCGGAGCCGGGAGGCGGGGAAGTTTCAAACAATTGAACGGCGGGGTCCGGGAGCTCGGGCGAAAGCGGGGGACCCTCGGTCTCGCCCCCCCATGAGCTGGACATGACTGTGTTACTGTAGCCCCGATAGTCCACGCAGGGACTGGCTGGGAGGAAGGAAAGGGTTTTGCAGCGACTACAATAATCATCTATGACAACAGCCGAGTCGTGTGGGAGAGCCCGTGCAGCTCCCCGCCCCACAGAGGGAGGAAGAAAAACAAATAATAGAAATGCTGAAAAGCAGCTTCTACCAAAACCTGCTTAAAATAATGCAGGAAGGAGCAACGCTCCTTCGTTTTCCTTCCCCTCTTGCTTCCTATTGCCAGCAGGCCCCCACCCAGGTCACAGCTCTGCGAAACACCCTCCTTTCTTCCTCCGCTCCCCCTAGCCGCCCCCTTCT